TTTCTTCCTAACAGTATACTCGTTGGTTACTCTACCACTTCTTAATAACATGCAATATTATAACTGTACAGGAAAAACATAATAACATAAACAAGATTTTTTTATATTTAAAATTAGCAACGTCCCACTAGGCGTGCCAATTTGTTTACCGTTGTTTTTGGTAAACAACCGCTGATCTCCAAAAAGGAAAGTTCTTTTTGGTTTACTTACGGGATCGATCAGATTAATCCCAGAACATATGCTAATTTTTATGTAAGACAGATAATCAGGAAGAACGCACGTTCGACCCAGAGAAAAGATGTTTGAGATTTTGGAAAAATAGACAGAAAAGTAGAAATGCAGGTAAAGAAACAAGAAAGATAACTTTGCAAGATAAGATTAAAGCAATGTAAAAAAAACTTTCATTAATAAAAAGAGGTGTTTCCAACGTACATTTCTCAGTTTTATCCTTTCTCACGCAGCGGTTACTTGGACAATATTTGAGTGACTAGTACAATAGGTTGAACACCCTTTAAAAACTACACAAGTTTCCTAATTTATACTAAAAAATGAGTAATCGTCGAGGGATCATTCTGCGCTAAGATGAAGACAAGTGTTTTCTGCATGTCCCTCGACCTATGGCTTTCAGCCACGTTGCTTCTTCTTAGCCGCTGGCGAAACTGCCTTTCCCTCCAATAATTCAAATTCAAATATCCCTCGTATCATGTGTCAAAGCGAGGATATTTTCTCCCAGTCGAAGGACATAAGTCTTCTTCAGTCGAAAAGACCTGAAGGTGAGCCCTGGTCTAAGGCTCAAATATAACTTAGATCTTTTTCCTAAGTTATTTCATACGTCGAACATTCTTCTTGGCTTGGTTTATTCCAGTTTTTTGGTCTAAAAGACCAAATATAGTAAGTGTCGAATTTGGGAGCCAACACATACCAGGCATGAAGAGCAATTTGCTCAGTATAGGGCAGTTGGTCGAAAAGAATTATAAAGTGTCAATCGAAGATAAGATGATGAGAGTCATTGATGCAAATGGGAGATTAATCTTGAAGGCTTCTATGTCTCAGAATCTAACCTTCAAGATTGAACTAAAAGTGATGGAACACAAGTGCCTCTCGACTGCAGCTAGCAAAGATGAATGGATATGGCATTATAGACTAGGCCATCTCAACTTCAGAGACATCAGAGATTTGAAGAGAAGAAATATGGTTTCAGGATTTCCAGAAATTGACATTCCAAACGAGGTATGTGAGGAATGTGTGCAGGCGAAGCAACACAAGAATAGCTTCAGCAAGGATGCAGGAAGCAAATCGAAGGCTAGTCTTGAAGTCATATACTCTGATGTATGTGGACCAATCCGGGTGGATTCGATGGAAGGTAAAAAATACTTTGTTACATTCATAGATAATTTCAGTTGAAAGCTATGGACTTACCTGATCAAGAAGAAAAGTGAAGTGATCGAAGTATTTACCAAGTTTAAGTCTATGGTCGAAAGACAAAGTGGTCGAAAGCTCAAAGTTTTGAGAACTGAGGGTGGTGGAGAATATGTGTCGAAAGACTTCGACAGATTATGTGAAAAGGAAGGGATTATGCATAAGGTGGTGCCACCCTATACTCCATAACAAAATGGAATTGCATAAAGGAAAAATCGAACTATCATGAATATGGTGAGAAGTATGTTGAAAGGCAAGAATTTACCTAAAGAGTTTTGGGGTGAAGCTGTTTCGACTGCAACATACATTTTGAACAGATGTCCTACAAAGAAGCTAGAAGGAATTACTCCAGAAGAATGTTGGTCTGGTGTGAAGCCTAGATTGAACCATCTGAAGGTATTTGGATCTATTGCACATAGACATGTGCCAGATCAGTTGAGAAGAAAACTTGATGATAAGTCAAGTCAAATGATTCTAGTTGGATATCATTTAACAGGAGGCTGCAAGTTGTTCGATCCAGTGAAAAAGAAGATTGTGATCAGCAGGGACGTGATCATAGATGAGTTTAAAGAATGGGATTGGACTGAAAATATCAAGAAAGATTCAGTGGGAGTCCTTCTTGAAGAGCCAGAAACTCAAATCGAAAGAGAAGTTCGACAAGAGGAACCAACAAATATACCAAGTACAAGCAGGCCTCAAAGAACAAGACGCATGCCTGCAAGATTGCAAGATTGTGTGATTACATCAGATGATGTAATAGATAATGAAGGTGAGCTGGTACATTATGCTTTCTATGCAGATGTCAAACCCGTTAATGCAGCTGAAGCATAAAAGGATTCGAAGTGGGTGAAAGCAATGAACAAATAAGTAAAGTCTATCGAAGACAACAACACTTGGTCACTTGTAGAATTGCCTCAAGGCAAGAAGGCAATTGATGTCAAGTGGGTATACAAAGTGAAAACGAATTCGAAAGGTGAAGTAACTCGACACAAAGCAATACTTGTGGCGAAAGGATTTCTACAGAAAGAAGGAATAGACTTTGATGAAGTTTTTGCACCTGTTGCTAGGATCAAAACAATCAGGTTGGTTGTTGGTCTAGCAGAAATAAACAGTTGGCACATATGTCAGATGGACGTGAAGTGTGCATTCCTAAATGGACCCTTAGATGAAGAAGTCTATGTTAAACAACCAGTTGGGTTTGTGAAACATGACGAAGAAAGAAAGGTGTACAGGCTACATAAAGCCCTGTATGGATTGAAACAAGCTCCAAGGGCTTGGAATAAGAAAATTGATAGTTTTCTAAGGGAGAAGGAATTTGTGAAGTGCACAACTGAACATGGAGTATATGTAAGAAGAAGCAAGAGTAAATTGATTATACTATGTCTCTATGTAGATGATTTGTTGATAACAGGTAGCTGTAAAAGTGAGATCGAAGACTTCAAAGGTGATCTCAGCAAGGAATTCGAAATGTCTGATTTGGGTGAGATTTCATATTTCCTTGGTATTGAATTCTACAAGAGCAGTAGAGGTTTGATGATGCATCAAAGAAGATATGCAGGAGAAATTCTCAAGAGGTTTGAGATGGAAGAATGCAACTCAACTTCGACACCTGCAGAACCAAGACTGCAACTGTCGAAAGATGCAGATGAAGATGATGTTGATCCAACCCAATACAGAAGACTTATTGGATCATTGAGATACCTTTGTCATACAAGGCCTGACTTAGCATATAGTGTAGGTATGGTAAGTAGATTCATGCATAAGCCAAAGGTATCACATCTAGCAGCAGTGAATAGGATACTAAGGTATCTCAAAGGAACTTTCGATTATGGTATTTTGTTTCCTGCAGTTGATAAAGGAAAAGAATGTAAGTTAGTGGGATACACTGATTCGAGTTGGTGTAGTGATGTTGAAGATCGAAAGTCAACAGCAGGATATGTGTTTATGCTAGGTGGTGCACCAGTTGCTTGGAATTCAAGAAAGGAACCAGTAATGGCATTATCATCATTCGAAGCAGAATACATAGCTGCTTCTCTTTGTGCATGTCAAGCAACTTAGATGGTGAACTTGGTCGAAGAGATAATAGGGAAAAATCATGGAGCAATTACCATGAAGATCGACAGCATGTCAGCTATCAATCTGGCGAAGAACCCAATAGCACATGGTCGAAGTAAGCACATCGAAATGAGGTTCCATTATCTTCAAGAGCATGTAGCAGATGGGAAGATGAATTTGGAACACTGCAGAACTGAGAATCAGATTGCAGACATCATGACGAAGGGAGTGCAAGTCGAAGTATTCAGAAAGCTAAGAGCCATGATGAACATAGATAGTTTAGACACAATGAATTAGGTGGTGTGTTAAATTGTAATCCAATGTATCGAAACTATGTGTCGAACAGATTTGATTTGTTTTAGATTTAAATAGATTTGATTTAAGTCTAGAATAAATTAGATTTGATTTAGTAACAAAAAAATATTTTGGGCTTTGGGCTTAGGGTGTAAGCTTGGTTATAAATAGAGGGAGTAACCCCTATTTTTGTAAGCAAGTCAAGCAAATCATTCACAGTATTTTGCAATTGCAAAGTGAATAAGAAAGTTTTCACAGTTTGTGAGCAGAGATCTGCAAAAATTATTAGTCTTGTCTTCTTTTCTTTGTTTTTCTCATAACTAATCGTCATTATGATAAAAATTCATCATAGTCATTTGGTGGATTTTCGACATTTTTAATTAACACAAAGTAAGTATTTGCACGGGCTTTTGGCTACAAGTTAAATATGTAGTTGTTTTAGTTTCTTAAATATGATTAGTAAATGTCTTCAACCAATTTTTTTCCTATATCATTATCAAAAATAGTTTGGGATTAATTCTACAAATGATTTTAGGTTAGTCTTGAGCTAATATAGTCGAAATGTCAACTAATTATAGTGATTGTTTTGTACTAACAATTTTGTAGAACTGTGGTTTATGAGAAATTATAATAAATCATGAAATGGAAAAATTTGGATAAAACTTCACTTCGATTAAAGGTAAAATTTTATTTTTGTTTCCTTAAATATACCTTCTCATCCATTATTTTTAAAAAGTTCTAAAATATTTATTTAATTATTCAAAAAAGTTTATATTAATGTTTTCCATCCGTCAATTTTTTCTTGAGTGACATCCTATATATCTATTATCAAATGTCATATATTATTTTCTTTTTTTATTTATTTATTTTTATCTTAAACAATTTATAGAATTAAAAAAATTCCATATGATAATGAATTGCTGACTCATGAGTCATCATCAACAACACCACCATCTAACTCAGCATCGTAGGATCCGCGAAACTATTCAATCCTTCTACGAGTGCTATCCAGAGCTGCTCTGGCTTAAACGAAGTATAAAGTGCAAAATGTTTAGTAGATCTAAGTTATTTGAAAACCAATAAGTAAAAATTGTATATATTTTTTAATAATTTAGAAAATACGTGGCAGATTTAATAGAGGTTCCTCAGTTTTCATGCAGGTGTTAGTATTTTCTTAAAAACATTAAACAAAGTCAGTGCCGGAGTGTTAAGATCGAAACCAAACTTCAACGATGAACCAAACGTCCCTTTCACCTTCAAACTATTGGCACCCCACAAATCAACCAAACCTAAACCCTTTCACCACTTCACCCACCGCCTTCAATCCAATCAAATCCCTTCGATTCAACAACCAAAACCTCCTGGTCCTCCGTTCCGCCCTAAACCCTTCCTCCCAGCCCCCACCGGTCGTCGTCGTAGGCTCCGCCAATGCCGACATCTACGTCGAGATCGACCGCCTCCCAAAGGACGGCGAAACCATCTCCGCGAAAACCGGAATAACTCTACCCGGCGGGAAAGGCGCCAATCAAGCTTGCTGCGCCGCTAAATTGTCCCATCCGACTTACTTCGTTGGTCAGATTGGGGACGATGCTCACGGAAGCCTTGTGGCGGATGCTCTCCGGGAGGGTGGTGTTCGTTTGGATTATCTTGCTGTTGTGCCGGCTGCTCCGACTGGGCATGCCGTTGTGATGCTTCAGGCGAGTGGGCAGAATTCGATTGTGATTGTTGGTGGTGCTAATGTGACTTTTTGGCCTGAGCGTTTGCCGCTTCGGCATTTGGAGGTTGTTTCTTCTGCTGGGATTGTTTTGTTGCAGAGGGAGATTCCGGATTTTGTTAATGTTCAAGTGGCAAAGGTTGGTACTTTGCTTTTTGTTTTCAGAATAATTCATTTTGTAGATATCATTGAGTTTGAAATGATTTGGCTCCACTTTTGTACTGATTTAGCTTCACTTTGAAATTATTAGGTTCACTATTACAATTTAGAGACAAAATTGAATTTTTAACATAGAATTTGTTTTTACCTGGGATTTAAATAACGGTAGCGGTGTGAATTAACCACAATTTGTTTTTTAATATAAAATCGATGATAACGGTATCGGTATCGGCACCCGCCGAAACTGTTTTATCACTGCTGTTTTCGCGGTTGCGGACCGTTTTTTAAAACCCTAGTTTTTACATGTTTGAGTGTATTAGAGCAAAATTCAATTTTTATATCAAGAATTGGTTCTAACTTGAAGTTGAGATTTGAAAATTTTGCCTCTAGAATTGATTTTTAACTTCAAATTTCTTTATCGACTCACTTTTAGTTGGATGTATCTAAACATAAATTACATTACATGCAATTTGGGTTGCTCCATTCATTTGAGCTAGATGGGTTTAAGCTCATCTAGGATTCAATCACAGGCAGTAACATTTCTTTGGATTTTCTCATAATGTATTAATGTAAACAAAGTTCTTGATACTTATAAATCAACAACTTATAAAAAAAAAGTTCATTCAAAATCAGTTTTCACCATTGTAGTATGCATTAGTCTGAGATTAACAAAACACATGTAGTTTTATATTGAAAACTATGTTTGACAGAAGAAAAATCTGTTTTGTACTTTCAACTTTAAAACCGAACACAATTAGTTGACGCACACTGGGAGTGATTTTATGGATCCCTTTATAAGAAGAGGTCATTTGAGAATAGTGTCTGACCTGATCAGTGACCAATATGATTTATGACTTGGTGACTGCATTGACAGTAAACTTGTAGTATCTTGATTTTTTTTTCTAAAAGCAACTTGTAGTGTCTTGATATGTTTCATGTGAATTATATTTTCAGTCCATGAGATTATTAACTAGTCAAACCGTACTATGCTCTTGTTTGTGCATACAGGCTGCAAGGAATGCTGGTGTCCCCGTAATATTTGATGCTGGGGGACTGGATGCACCAATTCCACAAGAATTACTGGATTTTGTTGATATTTTTAGTCCTAATGAAAGTGAACTTGGTCGCCTTACAGGACTGCCCACTGAAAGTTTTGAAGAGATCACACAAGCTGCTGTGAAATGCCATAAATTGGTGAGTTCGAGTGGTACCATAGGGATCCTTTGAAATTCTTTGCAGCACATTGTTCTACTTGAATGCTATATCCATAGGTCACCACTCACTACTTACAAATAAACACTAATGAATTAGCTAAAAGTAAAACCTGGTACTATAGACCCCCGCCATTTTGCGGCTCAGGGAAGGGTTGGATCTGTTGTTGATCTACTGTAGACATCATTATCTCGCATTTGCAAGAGATTGATTCCACAACTCACACCCGTAACACTCCCCTTCAAATTATTGAATTAATTTTTGCATCTGTCGACTGTGTCAATGTGCCTTCGATTGGCATCGTCTCTTCAGATGTCTTGTTTGATTCCAGAAGGCTGATAGATAAATGTTGTTTTTGTCTCCATGACATTCCAAGAGTCTCAGTGGTTACATCTATGGTGTTTTTTATCTTTAATTTCTAAATTGTCAGGGTGTTAAGCAAGTTCTTGTGAAACTTGGTGCCAAAGGATCTGCCCTTTTCATAGAAGGAGAAGAACCAATTCAGCAACCAGCCATTTTTGCTAAAACAGTCATTGATACAACCGGAGCTGGCGATACTTTTACTGCTGCTTTTGCTGTAGCGCTAACGGAGGGAAAGTCCAAAAAGGAATGCCTCAGATTTGCCGGTATGTATGGCAGAATGTATTTTGCTGTTTTTTGTTCTAATTTTCTTTAGAAACTTGTACCTAACTAACATGTGAAAATTTTACCATAATAGCTGCTGCAGCTTCTCTTTGTGTTCAAGTCAAGGGAGCCATTCCCAGCATGCCTGATAGAAAATCTGTTCTCGAACTTCTTAATCATCATTGAAGACACATGCCAAAGGTCAATATCTCTTTTCTACTATTATTCTTTTAAGCATTAGTTACAAACTCGTGAAGATTCTAAAACGCAAAATTGCTTTTCCGTGACTGATAAAAGTATAATAACTTTTGACTGTTAGAGGTCACAATAAGGAGTAGCAGGAACAGAATAAATGTGCATGGCATAGCGAAGGTTCTTGAAAATGACAAGGAAAAGAAAACTTTTATGTAGAAGCTTTTTTTTTGTAGATGGGCACTTGGAGGTTGTAGTTTGTTTATCATTTCAATAAGTTGGTCGGTTTGGAGGGTTCACCTAAATGATGTAAACAGATGACAATACAAACAATGTCTGTTTTTTATGTCTATAATTATTATATTTACTTTCAAGTTATTTTGAATACCAGAGAGTTTTGATAAATCAAAATAAGAAGAGTGCTACAACACTTTTTTCAACAATCTCTCTTAACACTCAATCTAGTCAAATCTATTGTCGAGTGAAATGTGTATGAATACTACACTTTAGAAATGAGTTCTCGATAAAATAATGGGATCCATAAAATGTTCCTAACACTCCTCGTCAAAACAAATATTGAAATATTCAACTTTCATGTTACGAAGACAAATGTCCTTTTCATTATTTCTTGAGTTCTTTCATATTGATATGATTTTCCGCGCTGCACACTATTTTTTTATTAAATGATAAATTGTTTACTTGAATATGTTGGTTACCATCAAAATTATTAGGCCCTAGTTTTAAATGTCTTACATTGAATGTCAACGAAAGATGATTTGCACGTATGTTTATAAGCATGTGTAGTTTTTCAAGTCTATTTTGTAAGGTGATAGATGTTATTTTTGGATTGGTTTTTGGAAGATCTATAATCAATTTTAGAGGTTTATAATTGATTTCGGATGATTTTGAGATGTTTGTTTTATCAAAAGTAGAATTGATTGTGTCTCTAGAATTGATTTTACTTGAAGCTAAAATTTGTAACTTCTATCTTTAGAATTGATTATGGATGATTTTTATATTAAAATTTATTATTCTACTTATTTTTATATAAATATATACAAACATAAATTAATTTTGTTAAACTTATTTCTGTTAAACATAATTTTATTAGAATCAATTTTATTTAGTGCTAATCCAAACACACCCAGACTCAATTTAAGTTCAACAATGACATCTTAGTCTATTAAAAATTTATTTTGCCACTTGCATTCATGCCACTCAGATTTTCAACAATGACATCTTAGTCTATTAAAAATTTTGTTTTGCCACTTGCTTTCATTTTGTTTTGATGGAAGGAGTGTATGTTAAAACTTTCGCATTTAATTAGTGAAAAATCCGTGTTTTTGCACGAATATCCGTATGGAACACTTGTTTGATATATATATATATATATATATATATATATATATATATATATATATATATATATATATATATATATAATTAAGTAGAATATATATAAAGATTAAAATATAAATTTATAAACTCTGCATTGAATAAAAATATCTGTAATGTAAAGTAGGTTGTTGTAAATTTGATTAGTATAAATTTGAAACATACATAAAGTATAAATTATTTATGGATAAATATAATATCACATTTTTAAATATATTATGTATGGCGTAATATATGAATAAAATTGAAATAATATGTAAATAATAAATAAAACGTGTAAAAAGTGTATTTTAAAAAGATAGTCAAAACAATGTAAATGATTGTATGGTTGATTAAAAAAATAAGAACAAAAATGTTATTAATTGAAATAAATTTGGCATAGGCCCAAATACAATAAAGCTGGTGGACCAAATGTGGTTAAAAATTAAAAAAAATAAATTGAAATTGAGTAAACAAATGGGCCGAAGGTCTAAACAGAATAACATTGGTGAAATGAAAGGATGAGCTCAAAAGTTGAACACAACACTTTTTCTCATTGTATACGCTTGAATAACCTATTGGTGCACCGTTCTCAAAGTTTGTCATATTCTAAGAACAAAGTCACTAATGTTGCGCAGATTTAGTGAGATAATGGCAAATATATTGTTATTTAACCCAGAAAAAGGTGATGGTTGGTGATAATATGACGTTGCATAGGTTTAATTTTGGTTACTTATTAAAAAAACATTGAATCAGTTGTTTTAATGTTGTTTTGTTTGCAGAAACCTTACTGAAATACCCCCTCAAACGGTTTGGCGACGATTGGCGAGGACAAATGTGCACTTCGGAGTGTTGGCCAAGGAGCAAATTGTTTTGGATTGAAAGAGAGGGTGCGAAGCCGCGCCATCTCCAAACGTGCTTGAAGTCGGGGGCAAAAAGCAAGCAACGGCGACTTGTATCGACCAGTGTTGACCGCATACTCAGGTCTGCGAAGGGAAAAAAGGATTATACAAGTTGAAGCCTCCGTCGACGGCGGAGTTGATGTTGAGAATAAAATGAGACATGCAGCTGATATTTCAGAATCACCAAGGGAGAAAAAGAAGCCAAAGAAAGGCAGAAGCACCCAAACTGTAGTTATGAAGTACATAAACCACAAGTACTTCTTGTGGTCTTGTGGACAAAGGAGATCAAGTGTGGCAAGACAGCTGGGACAAATGTTCTTGTAAGTATAGTAAGATATGATTGGGAGAGGGAGGGAGAGAGGGAGGGAGGGAGGGGGAGAGAGATATTTATTGGTAAGGGATAGTATGATTTCGTGAAGGATGAAGGTATCAAAAAAAGTGACAAACTTGCATTCATCATTCGGGATCGTCCACCCAGGGAGGTCGAACCTACAACCCAAATGGTTTCAGTGTCAGTCATGAATAGGTCAACAATTGGGTAACAATGTTTGGATACAGGTGGTGAAAGGAAGGCTTTGGGTGTTGGGTGTTGAAATCAGGGATATGTTGTTTCTTTTAGGAGTAGTTAATGTGTTATAAGGGATATGTTTGTGTTTTGATTAAAATATATAGATAAAATGGTAATGCTTTTGTGGATGGTAATTTTGTAACAACAATGTTTGAAGCATCCTACAGAATTCATTGAAGCTGTAAAGACAATGTACTATGATGTGATGATGAAGCTGTTATGATTAACATATTTAACAAAACGTATTTTAAAATTATGTTTGGATATTGAAGTTATGGTAATTTTTGTTTACTCTGTCAACTAGTTTATAATGTTTGGGATGTTATCTTCTGTACTGGCTTAGCAATTTAGGTTGTTGGTGCCCTGGGAATGATATATTACGTTAACAACACAGGGGCATCCTTCAGAAATTGGCCATATGAGTTGTCTAAAAATACACCACATAAATCTGCCATGGCCAATATGTGACAACACTGATATCGAAGATACAATGAAGGACAAAGTAAACTCAAGAAACAACAGCTCAAATAGATACAAAGCTTTAATATTGCAGAGTAATTTATTTTCAATTGTAACAGAAAATGAACAACCAAATGGCAATAAATTTTTTGTTGGAATGTAGTGCAATATATATACGTATATTTTCTATATTCTATATGTGAGAAACAACCGTGATGAAAATATTTAATAAATATTGTAGCACATCAAAAAATTTAAGTGAATAATATAATTACATGATATGTCAATTATTTCTAAGATGTTGCAATTAAGTATGTAGAATATAGAAATAGTATGATGAAAAAAATTATATTTTTGAACTTTAAAAAATAATAATAATAAAAATAAGGAATAAGTTTAATGAGGAAAATGTTGTATTAATTATAATAATGAGAAAAAGTAATGTAATACAACGATATATGTTGATATTGTGAAAAAAGTTTTAAGAAAGAAAAGTATAAATAATTTAATAATGAAATGTAAGTTGGATTATTCCATGAATTGTTGTAATTAGTAATTAGAAGTTGAGATGTTTGTATTATGAGTTAACGTATGGGTTTTGTCATTTATTCCCAGATCTCTTGAAGATTTGGAGGCAGAAACATATTGGAGAAGAATGAGTCTTGAGAAGTGTTGTTTTCAGATTTTGAAATATTTGCCACCGAAGAAATTACTAGGTTGAGTCGCGGACTAGATCGCTCTCTTTAAGACGTTTCACGGCACTGCTCAAAATTATGCAAAGCAGTCGAACTACCGCGCCGCAAGCAGTCGAACTACCGCGCCGCCTCCAGGATAAAACAACTCAGTTCTATACTGTACGATTACTACTTGCATGATAGATAATCAGTCTAGAAATACACCCTCTGATGGTACAAGACCATTCAAATATGATATCAACACCACTCGTAGTATCTGTTACAAAGACCAGTCATAATAATTTCTCAAACAAAAAGAAATTAATAATGATCATTTGACCACTCATAATAATTTCTCCAACAAAGAGAAATTGAAATAATTCTCCAAAGAGAATCCGAAAGATTAAACTTGAAAATTTCTCAACTCAAATGAGGAGAAATTAACATAATTCTCTAAAGAGAATTCAAGAAAATACTCGGAAAATTCAACGAGTAGGAAGAAAGGGGAAGAAGATGGCGCTTCGACAATTCGAGAGACGCAGAGTTATGAGAGTGAGGAAGGAAAAACTAATAGAATAGTTTTTGGTGTAATTTGGAATGAAACATGTGCACTCCTTATATAGTGAAGTAAGATAGTTAATATTTCTCACATGAGCAATGTGTGACTAAATGATTTTTTCAACCAAAAAAAAAAAATTCTAACAATGTGGGACTTAAGAAATTTTTAAATTCAACATATTCAAACATGGACATGTTCCAACAATCCCCCACTTGAATTTAAAAAATTAATTTTAGAAGTAACGTCAAACGTTTCTAAGATTGTGCATAAACAAAGGTGTCTACGACTTGAACCTTTGCATAGCAAGTAGGATTCCAATTCAACAAGAGTGACACAAATGTCTTGAACTCTATCTCAGACATCAAACCCGCACACAACCTTTTCTTAAGGTGTATTCTAATAGCCCGTGCTTTAATGGCCCTGCACGTGTATCCCAGTTTAATGAAGGCTCTAAGAATTCAGCCTTGAAATTCCATAGGAACCGACCTAAGTTCCACAATCACATAGGTGAGTCTATCAAGAGTACTCTTGTAGCCTAGGTACTCCCTCATACAGAGTATAGATCTCATTAAGAGTTTATATTATCTCATCCTCTTATTACTTCAGGATTCATGCTTTACTTGCATGATCATCTCATATTACTCATAACTTTTTATTACCCATTGAACCTATTTCTTGGGATCTCCAGTCATTTAGGTCGGGTTACCATCATGAGCAACTCATTTTTCTATAGGCATTAGTCTTATCTTATATGATGTATTATAGACTTTCTCTCTAGCTAATCCTTTCGTCAAAGGATCTGCTAAATTTTCATCAGTGCATACATGATCCACTCTTACAGTTCCTTTAGAGATACAATCGCTAACAGTGTTGTGCTTTCTTCTTATTTGACGTCTTTTACCATTATAATAACGGTTCTCAATTTTTGCAATAGTCGTGGTACTATCGCAGTGGATCAACACAACTGACATATGTTTTTCCCATAAGGGAATCTCAGTTAGCAAGCATCTTAACCAACTTGCTTCTTCACTAGCAGTCGCTAATGCTATATTCTCAGGATAGTATGTTTCTTTGATTTCCAAGATACAACTCATCTAGCTATGTTGAATACATAGCCATTAGTTTCTTTGGAATTTGATAAGGTATTCCAATTTGCATCATTGTATTCTTCCGGTACAATAGGAAATCTATGATAATGTAAACCGAGATTCATGGTCCTTTTAAGGTACCGTATGACTCGCTCAATAGCTTGTCAATGTTCATTACTCGGTCTGCTAGTAAACTCGCACAACAATCCCACGACATATGCAATGTCAGGTTTAGTACAATCAATGGAATACCTAAGACTTCCAATGATGCTCGCATGTTCTGTTTGTCTAACACTTTCACCAGTGTTCTTAAACAGCTTCATGATTGGATCATTTGGTGTGCTCACAAGTTTACTGTCAAAGTAATTATATTTCTTTAAGATCTTTTTCACATATTGTGATTGATCCAAAGAAATTCCTTGCTCGGATTTTGTGATCTTGATACCAAGAATCACACTCACTTCTCTGAGGTCTTTCATATCAAAGTTGTTGCACAACAACAATGTCATATCATTAATGGCCTGAATGTTTGATCTAAATATGAGTAGATCGTCTACATATAGACATATGATAGTGCAAATACAATTCTCAAATTTGTAATAAACGTATTTGTCACTTTCATTCACTTTGTACACATTCAATATCATTAAGTTATCAAACTTTACATGTCATTTCTTTGGAGCTTGTTTTAGCCCACACAAAGACTTATCTAACTTACAGACCTTGTTTTCTTATCCATAGATCACAAACCCTTCCAGTTGTTTCATATAGATTTCTTCTTCTAAGTCACCGTTTAAAAACGTTGTTTTAACATCCATTTGGTGTACTATTAAGTTATAAATAGAAGCTATTGAAATAAGTACCCTAATGGATGTAATTCTAGTGATAGTAGAAAAGGTGTCGAAGAAATCTATATTTTCTCTTTGTCTAAAACCCTTGGCAACAAGGAAAACCTTGTATTTATCAATAGTTCCATCAGGTTTTAGTTTCTTTTTCAAAACCCATTTACAACCGATTGGTTTGCAACCAGGAGGCAAGTCTATTAAGTGTCACGTCTTGTTAGATTCTAGAGATTATATCTCATCATTGATAGCTTCTTTCCATAACTAAACATCCAGAGATGACAAGGCTTCTTGAAGATTCATTGTGTCTTCTTCTACATTATAAGCCGCATAATCAGGCCTATAGTCTTTAGCAACTCTTACTCGTTTACTTCGTTAAAGTTCTGTTTCTACATTGTCGTTGTTTTCTGTGCTTCTTATCACAGGAATGTGACTCGATTGTGTGCCCCCACTATTTCTCAATTTGAAAGGAAATTTGTCTTCATAGAATTCAACATCAGTTGATTCTATGATCACTTTTGCCTTTAGGTCATAAAACCTATATGCTTTACTGTTTGCTACATACCGAATAAAAACACATTCATATGCTCTACTAGCGAGTTTAACTCGTTTCGGATCCGGAATTCTGACATAAGTCAGACAACCCCAAGTTCTCAAATAAGACAAGTTTGATTGTCTTTTCTTTAATATCTCATAAGGAGAGATCTTACATTTTGACTTGGGGACTCTATTCAGGACATAGCAAACAATCAATAAAATTTCCCCCACCAGTGAGGTGCAGCATCAGAATTCATCATAATTGCAACAACATGTTCAGTAAAAGTTCTATTCTTTCTTTCTATTTTACCATTCAATGCAAGATAGTATGGTGCAGTCGTTTCATGTACAATTCCATGTATAAAATTCATTAATAGACTAGACTCATACAATTTCTCTATCACTATAAATTCTTATTATATCATTTTCAAATTCTTTACAAAAATTTTAACATATAAACTTCATTCTTCGTAATGGCGTACAAATCTACCCCAATAGACTGAATAAACCCTATCTTATTTAAAATAAAACCAGAAACAATATTCTTTCTAATATTAGGAACATGCATAACATTCCTTAAGATTAAAGTCTTTTTGAAGGTGAAATTTAGCTCCATGTCTACAATTCCAGCAACATTCATGTTCTGGCCATCTCCCAACAACACTTTCTTATCTTTAGTATTCGTGTATGTTTAAACATAACACGATCATAACAGACACAACGAGAGACGCATGTGTCTATCCATCAACCAACATATCCATCAACCATGTTGATTTCAATGACCATAGCAATAAGTTGCCCATTAGTCAGGTTGACCCATGCATTAGGGACAACACCAAGAAGTTCAAGCTTACTTCTACATTTCTTAGTCATATGACTTGATTTTCCATAGTTAAAATAAAGGGAAACCAG